ATTGGTCATGTGTGACAGCATGACAGGAGTACCCACTTAGAAGGCAGGGCTCCTTCATTGGATGGGAGTGAAGGACTCCTGGAGAGAGGGAGCTAGAAGTTGTTGCCACTGCATATCTCGTATCTCGCGAGGCAAGGGACAAAACTCTGTATTCAGGAATTAAGTCAGAAATTCCACCTTCTCTTAAACTTGAGGAGACAGAGGCCAACAAGTCCTCTTCACAATCACTTCAAAGTCTCAGAAGCACCTAGGTCTCACTAACAATAAAAAAGAACCTCAAAACAATGATTCAGATGGAGAATGGGAGAATGGATAGACAAGTGGACAGATAAACAGATGGAATGACAAGGGAATAAACACCCGTTGGTGGCAAGGGTTTTGAACTCTTTTTACTGTGACCCTGCACAATTCACTCTTTCCAAACTACCCTGAACCTTGCATTTGCGAGTGACAAAAATCTGTTTTTTCCCAAACAAGTTTATTCCATTCTTCATTAATCAAACCTGACTGCAGCACTCTAGAATACCAAATCTTCTCCTCAAATCTTGGAAATTGGAAGCAATGGTTTCCTGGGGATGGCGACATTGAACAGTTAAAATTCTGGATGAATAACAGTGGGAGCCCTAGACTCCATGAGTGTAGTTACTGCTACTGTTGGGTTGTCTATTTTCCTGCTATTTATTTCCTAAGTTCTCTCTTCTTTGTTCCTCTTCTCTTGTGCTTTTGGGTTAAGCAAGTACTTTAAGCATTCCATTTTACCTTCACTAATGGCTCTTTAGCTGTACCTCTTAGTTTATTGTTTTAGTGGTTGCTCTAGGGAATTAAATATGCATCCTGAATTTATCACTCTACTTCATGTTGTCATCCCACTTCATGTATATGTAAAAACCTTACAAGAGTATAATTCCATTTTCTTTCTCCCTGAAACCTTTGTGCGATAGTTGAAAATATTTTATTTCTACCTATGTTACATTGTGATTCGGTAATCTTTGTACACTGGTTCTTTCAACCAAGTACCCTGGTATTTCCTTTCTTCTTTGAGGGGAAAAGACAAAAGCATAGATAGTTACTAGAAGGTAAAGATTATTGAGACACTATTCCTTCAATCACAGAATGGTTCTTCCACTTTGATTTTTTGAAGAGGACTCAACACTTCCTCTTTTAAAAACTGAAAGAGAATATGAACTCGGTGTCAGATTTGCATAAATGTTGAAGTAACATTATTTGCAGCTCATTCTTCTTTCCAACTGACTTTTTCATTGGAAATTTGTTCAGAAAGTTAAAGGGGCCACATCTCTTAAGCAGAACAGAACATTTTGTACAGCAAAACAAGAGAGAAATTTCAAACTGGAAAGTGATTTCATCACAAGGTTCAAATTTGACACCTACTCTGGTTCCAAAATTTAGTGTCAAATATTTTCTACTTTCAAAGGCAAAGAACAAGAACAGAAAACCTTTTAAACAATTATAAAATAAGCTAAAAGCATCAAAACTTGGTTCTGTGATTTCTAAGACTTGACATCTGAAAGTTACAAAATCATTTAAATTTTAACTATATGAGAAGTGAGCCCTGGCTGGTGTGGTTCAGTGGATTGAGTGCTGGCCTGCAAAGCAAGGCCCCTTGGTCACTGGTTCGATTCCCAGTCAGGGCATGTGCCTGGACTGCAGGGCAGGTCCCTCGGGCAGGGGTGTGTGTGAGAGGCAACCACACATTGATGTTTCTCTCCCTCTTTCTCCCTCCCTTCCTCTTTAAAAATAAATACAATCTTAAATTTAAAAAAAAAAAAGAAAGAAAATTGACCTCAATTACTCTAATGTGGCTAAACAGAAAGGAGTTTCCTTCATTGATATATTCTATAAATCTGACACCTGCAAACTGGCCAGGTACAATGTGTGGGAACAAGCTTCACTGGTAAGGCTCTTTTCACATATCTTTTAAAATGAGGGTCAACAAGACCCTAAAAAGGAAGATATGATTTCATTCTCCCTTTAACATGAACATCTCTGTGCTCTCAAGAACTAAAAACCCAAAGGTTTTTTTCTCCCTTCAAATTACTGTGCATATATGCTCAAGGTTAATTCTATTATAAGTGACTAATGGATATTTTAGAAATTAGTTTTTTTAGTTGAGTTTCCTGTCAAACTTTGTAAAACCCATTGTGCCTTCAACAACAAATCCAATTAAAACAACACCTAAATTCTGCATCAAGTTTTTCCTAATATATTTCAACTTTCAGTGAAATTATTTCTGACAAATTGAGACTAGTGGTCAATGCGGCACAAAGGATTTTAAAAGAGGAATACATAAAAAGTATAGAAAAAATTCTGTGTAAATGGTTTTATAGAGGTGGAGTAACACATTTTGTAATCATTGCAGTCCTTATTTAGGCTGTTCAGGTCCTTTAAAATGCTTAATAAAACTTGTTTTACTGTATTTCTCTTGATTAGATTTATGAGCATTAAATATTGCTTTGATTTTGTCAGTCATATTTATAAGTCTACTCTTTAAGTGTGTGCAGTTTAGTTGAACATGTAAATGGTATTAAATTTTTAGGATTTAATCATTAAGTATTAATGAAAAACATTAGGCCAAAAAAAGTCATTTTTTTTTTGTAATTAAGCTCTGTTAGCTGAGTGTAAATTTAAAGGTAAAAAAAGTACCTAGAAATAAAAGTTAATTTTAATATATGGGATAATAAGTATAACATGGAGACATGAGAATACTGCATCCTATGTACAAAAGCACCTCTTGGGAATGAAAACACTAAGAATCTCCACCAGAATGACTGTCACTGCTACTTACTCTAGAGGTACAGGCCTATGCAAAATGAAACTAAAACATAATGTATATTAAAGTATCAATGTGTTCTGAAATTCAGAAGATTGCAGTATCTGATTACCAGAATTTATACAAATTGAGTGTCTTAAAAACCTAGTAACAACCTCCACTGGTGTGGCTCAGTGAATGGAATGCTGGCCTGCAAACCAAAGGGTCATCAGTTCAATTCCTGGTCAGGGTCCATGCCTGGGTTGTGGGCCAGGTTCCCAGTTGAGGGCTTGCGAGTCATCTATCTGATGGATATTTCTTTCACACATCAATGTTTCTCTATCTCTCGTTCTCCCTCCCTTCCTCTCTGTCTAAAAAATAAATAAAATTTTTAAAAATCTAGTAAGTTCTGCCTGGTATTTCTTCATGTTTTGGGAAGCAAAAATATCTGAGTCTAAGCACTCTAAAGTTTTGAACCTTTCAGTCAAGAAAAAAACTGGTTTGATCATATTACCTGTTTCTTGGCAATGAAGTAAATTCTTTTAAAAAATTCATTGAGAAAAATCATATGAACTTCCTAACCAAGAGAAACAGCTATCATTTTAACTATGCCCACGTGATCTTTATGTTGAAATGCAAAGTGAAATAAATCAGAGAAAGACAAATACCACATGATTTTACTTATGTGTGGAATCTAAAGAACAAAATAAGTGAAAATAGAAACAGACTCATAAATACAGAGAACTGATGGTTGGTTAGGGGGTGGGGGTTGGTAGGCTGGGTAAGAAAAGTGAAGGAATAAGAAGTACAAATTGGGAGCTGCAGAATAGTCACAGGAATGTAAAGTCCAGCATAGGAAATGTAGTCAATAATACTGTAATAACTATAAATGATGCCACTTGGGTATTTAAAATATAAAGGGGATCACTTTGTAAAGTGATTGTCTAACCACTATGCTATACAAGTGAAACTAATATAATTCTGGACAAAAACTGTAATGTAAAAGTAAAATATAAAAAAAGAAAACAATCATTAATCACTATGCAGGAAATGGATTCTGTATCTTTCTACAGGAGAAAAAATTTACTAAAATAAATTGTTTATTAGCCTTACCACATTTATTCAACAACTTGATACTCAGAGAATTGCTACATATGAAAAGTGAAAATGAAAGTGAATGAAAATGATACTCAGAGAGATCCAGTGATGAGGGTAAAAACAAGAAATTCAGATTTGAGGAGGGGGGAACCTACATGCCATGTATGCCCTGCTGAGGGCCTATAGTTCCAGCATAAGGATGGGAGGGATAGAAATATATATATCTATTGACAATATTTAAACCAAAAAGTATTACAAGAAAACTGACTTTCAGTACTCAAATCCAAGAATAAAAATTTAGGAAATCATTGAAATAAAATAATCTAAAGCTACAAGTCTTCATTGAGTTCCAGAAGCAAATCTTTTGGACTATGGTATCACATTAATATTTAATTTAAAAATTTAAAGCTCTCTAAATATTAGCAGAGGACTGCTGCAATGTGTATGTGTGAATGGATGGAGGGATGTATGGACAGATGGACAGATATAGACACATAATTTCAAAACATTTACAAAGGGGGACCCCAAAAAACTGGTATTTATAAAAAATTGTGTATTTATTCTTACATGTTTAGACTCCAGTCACCTTCAAAGTGCTCTCCATTTAATGCAAGACACCTATTGTGACATTTTTTTCCACTGCTCAAAACAGTTTTTGAACTCATTGATTTTGATGCCTTTTAGTGCTTCTGCCATTTTTTTGTTTCACCTGTTCCACATCAGCAAAACATGTCCCTGTGAGGACTGTTTTCATCTAGGGAAACAAAAAGAAGTCACTTAGGGCCAGACTGGGTGAACAGGGAGGGTGGGGCACGAGGGTCATGTTGTTTTTGGTCAAAAACTGCTGAACACTCAGTGCAGTGTGGGCAAGTGTGCTTGTAAATCACCCATCATGTAATGGGCAAATGCGCTGAAAGAGTCTTCAAAAAAATTCACTGAAGCCGAGCACAGCCTCTCACAACACCAGCTAGTACACTGATACAGAGGGGTTCCTAGAACACTCAGAAGATAATTGTTTTGGGGGAGACCCCCTCGTATTTGCCATTCACTACTTTGCAACCCTTCTCCCAATTTGATTGGGATAATATGTAATTTTTGTTAAAGTCCAAGTACAAAATGAGTAAAAAGAGAACCATTGGAGTGAGAATCCTTTAATAACCATATTCATTTCCAGAGAATAAATATAGAAATACAGGCAATATATGTAACACTAATATTTTTCTTAGAGACAGAAAGCACCTACTCTTTTATACAAGTTAATGGGCAAACACTTTTACCAGAAATCAGCAGTGGGAAAGCTATGCAACAGAAGAAAGTTACAAACAAAATGACAATTCATTTAATTACTGAGATTCACACTCCAGGTGCTGTGTCACGGGTGAAATGGGAAGGCTGGAGGGCACACTTCAGCTTCGGGCAGCAGCAGTCTGAGGTTGCTCAGATTGGAGCTGTTTACCAAGATATTCCCTAAAATAATACAATAATCAAATAAGGTAAATTAGATTTTAAATGACAAAGAATCTCTTTTAAGATCAAAATATAATATACACTGTCTTGTATTTTAAGACATAAAAATTAATAAACTAGCTGTAGTAAACAAATCCTTTCCAAATTTCAGAAGTACCTAGTCTGTATGAAGTTTAAACACTCTATTTAAAATATACAAGCAAGTCATTACACACACAAACAAGTAATGCTGCATATGACTAGAAAGCAATGCAATTACTTCTCAGGTGAAGCCTACTTTACTGTTTAGGTAAAAGCCTTGTTTACTGCTGCAGCCACTTCTGCAATTCAAGAAGTTTAAAAATGAATTTAAGTATGATTCCACATAAGTGGGCTGATACATTAAAAACACACTCCCTGGTGTTAGAGAATACAAGTATCTATATCTGGGGATGAACACAAAAGCACATGAAAATCACCCACCAAAAATAACATCAAGAATCACAGCACTTGGTAAGAGCTGCGTGTTAGAGAGCACTGACTTTGTCCTGGCCCAGTCTAAACCTTCAGAGACGGCTGTACTCAATCTACAGAGCAATCACAGAGCGGAGACACACTATTCCCATTTTATAGACAAGTCATGATGTTCTCCTGGAGAAAATAAATTGAATATGAATTCACAATATGTGAATTCCTTGCTCTAAATTACATACAGATATCACTGTTAATTCCAGGACAGAAAACAATCTTTACCTGATTTTCTGTGAATGACTTGCCCAAACTTTTGTTTTTGAACTTTTTAATAAGGACAAGAATATCTAAAAGTTTCCCTCTATCATAAGAAAAAAAGTATGAGTTTTAGCATGGAGACCTGGGGTTTGCCATCCAGCTCCACCACCTCACTGACTCCAGAGTTGTGGGATGAAGACACTTCGTATGTTAACATGAGGGCTAATGGAAAGGCACTGTGTGGGAGGTCACCTTGCCCATGGACAAGCAGAAGGTACAAGGGGGTCTGTGTCTTCCCCACTCTCTTCGACTGGTTTTTCAAGCTCCCCTGGTCTGAGTACCTCCAGGGAACAACCTTTCAGTGCCACCAGCATCTACCAGTAAATGTGATCCTGCCTTTCTCCACAGAGGTACAGAATAAGGGGAAAGGGCTGGTCTAAGCGGTTTTACTGTCTTGCTCTCCCCTCTGATATCAGCCCAAAGTTATCACAGGTGTGAAATAAGACTGGAATAGGAAACAGTTCTGTGAACTACGATAGTGAGGTGTCAGGAACCCACCCCCAAAAGGTGTACAAAGGTGAAGAGTAATTTAAAATACTGTGAGACTAAATGAAACTTCATATAACATGAAAATGGTTTATGGTCTTTTTAAAATCCTCACAGGAAAGTTGTTATTACTGACTTATTAATTGTGGGTGTCATGTTAAAGCATGTAATATATTCTTATGTTAACTAGGAACTACCCTGACATGATTTAGACAATGGAGATCTTAATTTTCAACCAACAATAAACAGTTCTAATTTATGCAGAGGCCAAAAGGAAAGCCATCCTATAAATTTTATTTCCTTATTCTATTTTTTAAAAGATTTTATTTATTTTTAGAGAGGGGAAGAAAGGGAGAAAAATAGGGAAATACACATCAGTGTGTGGTTGCCTCTCGAATCCCCCACTGGCAACTTGGCCCATAACCCAGGCATGCGCCCTAGACTGGGAATTGAACCAGGGACACTTTTGGTTCACAGGCCAGCACTCAATCCACTGAGCCACATCAGCCAGGGCTCATCTTATGAATTTTAGTAGACAGAAAAAGAGCAGGAGTTTATGGTCACTTTCAATGCCACCACTCCAGGGAAGCTTGCAACTACGAAATATTTGTGACTGCATAGGTTTATTTGGTTTCCTTTGGTGAGGGAGTGGAATATAAAATTTATTACAAAATTTCCAGATCTTACACATTTTTCTACATATACCTAAGGAATTAAGCTGAAATTAGATATGCTTCATTTCAAGAGGGCCTTCAAATATGCCAGTTTTGACTGTTGGACACTTAAGGTAAAGGGCAGCAGAACCAGCCAACCCCACACTACCACTTGGCATATTGATAGTTTTGAGTTGTAGGCACCTGAAAAACAGCAAATGCAGGCACAGGCTTTCTATGAATTCCCCGCGTATCTGCCTAAAAACACATCCTCCACAAAGGACTCAACTCTCATAACCTCTCCTCAGCAGTTTCATCAGAGAGCACTGACTCTCATCACGAGAGATTGAAGTCCACACCACCGAGACAAACTTTGTCACAAACTACCTCCCACCCATGTTTCCTAAAAATCATTTATTCTGTCTGCCTCCCTCCCCTTCCCCCCATTAAGATGTACTTTAAGCCTAAATTCTAAATCTACCTCTTTGAGTTACTTATTTTATTCCTAGGTATCTCCCATGTGTACAAGAGGCATATATATTTTAATAAACGTTTTCTCTTGTTAATCTGTCTTCTGTTACAGGTGTCTCAGCTTAGAACTCAGAAGGGTAGAGGGAAAATAATTCTTCTCCCATACAAGAGTGATCTTAGAAAACATTTTAAAAGTGTACTCAAAGACACCATGTCATCCTTCAATTACAGTTGCCTGTGATTCCTTCAGTAAAGGGCCAATGTCAAGGGCCATATTCTAAATGTGTTTCCAAGATAACTGGTGTAAGAAAATAGCCAAACCTCCCAGAGCTCAGCACTATGACTGCTAAGTGATCAGAAAGGGTCCTTGTGGATTTGGTTACTAACATACACAAAGGGTCACATCTGCTCCATCCCTTTCAGAGACATGAAGAGTGGTTCATTCCCATACCAGATTTAACTAATATTTCAGGAACAACACTGAACACTTGGAGGTGGGGAAGAGATGACTGATTTCTTCACAAAAGAGACATAGGTTCAAAGTAGAAGGATATTAAAGTAGAGCGAAGGTGAGGTGTTCTGGCAGAGAATTAAAAACATGCCCAAACCTGGCTTCTTCCCCACCAGTCTCTGCTCCTTTGTTTTCCTGGTCAGAGGTATTTATTATGAATAATATGCTCTAGTGTACTCTCACTTTTTTCCTGCATACAATGCCATTGAGGCATTCACTTCTTCATGACCTTAGTGCCTGGTATACAGAAACCAGGGCCTCCTTTCCTCTGTCTTCTAACTAAGGATTATGCAATTTAGGGTTAAGGCAAAGGGCTAGGTCACATACAGATACAAAGTGTTCAACCAAGAACTTGAAAATCAAGAACATAACTTAAGATATTACAGGTCATAAAATGTCAAAAGTCTAACAGAAGAAAAGTCCAGATGGGACTCATAGAAAGAAGAATCAAATCTCTTCCTCAGGCTTTCTTGAAAATATTGGGTTGGCCAAAAAGTTTTTTTTTCCTGTAAGATGGCTCTGGTAGCACTTAGTTGTCTTTAACTTCATTCAAAACAACTTTGTTAAATTGTATTGTGACAATTGTTGTATCAGTGTGCATTAAAAAACAAACTTTTCAAAATTGGTGAATATGTAGCCATTTTAATACTGAAAATGGAAGATTAATATTGAAAATGGAACATTTTTGGCATATTATTCTTTATTATTTCAAGACAGGTAAAAATGAACTGAAACACACAAAAAAGATTTGTGTGGTGTATGGAGAAAGTGCTGTGACTGATTGAATGTGTCAAAAATGGTTTGCAAATGTTCATGCTGGAGATTTCTCACTGGACAATGCTTCAAGGTCAGGTACCAGTTGAAGCTGATAGCATTCAAATTGAGACATTAATTGAGAACAGCCAATGTTATACCACATGGGAGAGAGCTGACATACTCAAAACACCCAAATCAATAAAGTTATTGGTGAAAATGAAAAATATATTTTTTATTTTATGAAAAAAACTAAACAAACTTTTTGGCCAACCCAACAGTATGTTTGCTATAGCATGTGGGTTGTTAAAATCTCAGAGAGAACCGAAACAAGGCTCAACTGAAATAGATACTGTATTCCAGAAAGACGATTGGGGGAAATCTATTTCTTTGAACTTGGTGTGTAAAAATGTTATAGTCTTCTCTTTTGATGTCAAATGGCAATTTGTTGTCAATGAATACATTCCCAAGATTCACCTAAGTCTGCCTCTGAATTCTCTGTGACCTCAGCCAGAGATAAGTGCTGACACCAAGTACTTGGGGCTGGGAACACAGAATGGCTGCTGCATTCCACACTGTACTACATGTCATCATGAAAATATGATTACAGGTATATCCATGTTATTACCCTCCATCTTGACAGTATCCCTGTGAGGCAGGTATTATCACCATTTACAGGGACAGAAGAGAGCCTAGGAAAACTTCAATAACTTGCTCAGGTGCAAAGTGAGCAAATGGCCTGGCCAGGGCTCAGATTCTATTCTCTTTCTACTATAAGGCTGGCTGACTAGCCTCCAATAAAAGCCTAGAAGGTGAAGAAAACAGATACTCTTTCTATTCACTGCTCAAAACAGTTTTTAAACTCATTGATTTTTATATCTTTTAGTGTTTCTGCTATTTTTTTTTGTTTCATCTCTTCTACATCAGCAAAACGTTTTCCTTTGGCTTTTTTCATCCAGGATAGGGGGAATCACTCGGGAGAGATGAGGAGAACAGGGAAGGTGAGGCACAGGAGCCATGTCATTTTTGGTCAAAAACTGCTGAACACTCAGGACAGTGTGGGCAAGTGCTCTTGTAAATCACCCATCATGAAACAAACATGATGAAAGTGTTTTAAAAAAAATTCACTGAAGCTGAACACAGCCTCTCACTACAACACCAGCTGGTACACTGATACAGACGGGTTCCTAGAAGTCACCTAGCAGAGGAAGCCTGTACTACAAGCAGCCCACCCTCCAGAAAATAATTCTGGATTTTTTGGGGGGCCCCCTCATATTTAAATCCCAAACTGTCTCCACAATACTTTAAAATCTTGGCCTAGGAAAAGTAGTGACCAACTTACTATTGTACTATTTTTT